TTTTTTGGTGGTGTATGTTCCCCAAGAGATGAACGTGGAGAGTTCCCGCTCCCATCTCATTGTTGGCATCATGGTGGAGAGCAGGAATCTGACCAATGGGAGTGTGAGCAACGGGAAGCTGAGCCTCGTGGACCTGGCAGGCAGTGAGAGAGCAGCCAAGACTGGTGCTAAGGACCACCAGCTAAAGGTTTGCTCATATTTTATGTTTTAATTATGAGGATGATTGAGTAGATATTTTCTCATGGCCTCTTTAAATTCCCCCTCCCCTCTACAGGAGGCCAACTCCATTAACAAGTCTCTGAGTGCTCTGGGTGATGTGATCTCAGCCTTGTCTGCTGAACTGCCCCATGTACCATACAGGAATAGCAAGCTGACACAGGTAGTGCTAAAAATCATCATATGCGAGTTTGTAGCAATGGAAAATGAGCTGCGTGTGATTTCTTAAGTGACCTTTGCATTTCACGTCTCTCAGGTGATGCAAGACTCACTGGGTGGAAATGCCAAAACCCTTATGATCGTCAACATCTCTCCTTCAGAGTGCAACCTCGATGAGACGCTCACATCTCTCGTGTAAGAGATGGAGACATATTAATATTTCCGTTTATTTGAATGCTAACAAACTTCTAAATAACACCTGAACTTCCCGAACCTTCCAGTTATGCGACGAGAGTGAAAGCCATAACCAACAATGTTCAGAGACACGTGGACAGCAAAGAGATTGCTCAGCTAAAAGAGGTGTGTGGCACTGTAATTTGTTACAGCCAGAGTTTGATAGCAGCATTGAATCATTAACTTTATTTCTGTTTTCTTTCTGGTAGGTGATCATGAAGCTGAGGTCAGGACAAACAGTGGATGAGGAGGACATTTGAATTGTGAACTGTAAATTCTGTACTATAGTGGAGTAAACTGTGATTGTTTGGACCATTTTTTGAGCGGCTTCTCTTAAATCTTGTTTAAGCTGCACATGCTTATGAACTAGCATATATTTTAAGTCAAATGGAGGGATGGACAGTATTAATACCACACTGTGAAAATCCTATACAGTTAAAAGTCCTGTGAAAAATTGTGTATAATCACCTGAAAATAATCATTGTTTTTGTTACCTAAGCTGTTTTTTCCACTATGATGAACCACCGTGTTTCTATAGACAGTTTGGAAGGCGAGCGGTATTCATTTGTTTGCAATCTACTAGATATCATTAAATCCTCCTCGCTGGTCCTTTAAGTGGAAATGGAGATGATCAAATACAGAAAGTAGCCTCACTGTATACTAACTATAGACCTGTGGTCCCCGGTCAACCCCCGGCAGCAGTGGGTGTCCGAGGACTCGAGCGAGCCGGAGAAGGCACATTTGGTTCAGCTATGTAGAGAATGCATGACTAGAGGAGGCAACATTAGTGAGAACAAAGCAGTGAATCAAGTTAAACACTATTTTCAGATTGTCTCACAGCGGTTATGTTCTAAAGCACAAATAAACACAGCGACGCCTCCGCACAACCCTGCAGGAAGGGGCCATACTTCTCTGCACAGACACCACCACACAGGTCTAGTGGGTCAAAAGTTATAATTCAGGGTTTATGTTTGTAGTTTATACATTGTTTTGTAGCAAATTCTGCATAGTGTTCCTTTAACTACTTTATATACTATTTAATCTACATGAATGTAAACTTTATTTAGCTCAAGAAGTCGGAGAATTGTCTCAACCCATGAAGGAACACTTAATCCTAAAGTTTATCGCAAACATTCAAATTAGGGGCACCGACTGTTGCATTCAGGGGATTGCGTGCAGTTTGTTAATAGGTGCTGCCTGCCAGGGTCTATAGAATGAGGCCCCCACAATGCAGGGCCCCACGTGTAACTGAAGAGGCAAATAGGAAGTCACTTGGTTATTCAGTTTGCACCCCTATTGTTTGCAGCCCATTAGAGCTGAGAGGTTAAGTCTCCGGGGCCTATGACCCGTTCCTATACTGTTACAGGGTCATATCCATTGGCTGGGAATGGACACTCTCAAACACGCAAAGGCCGTGTCTTGTTTTCTTTTTTTCAGACGGCCAGGGAGTTTACTAAAATTAGAGCGTTATGATAGAAAGTTAAGAGGACCGTATGAAGGAGAAGACTTGTGGCAGTTTGGATGGAAAATAGCTGATTTTTTTGTAATTTGTTGGCGCTAATAAATGTTACTGTTACCTATGTGTGACCATGTCGTGAAGCAATAATGTAACTGAAGAGTTATAGAGAGATTGATTTTAGTGTGTATTGGCTTGTTTTAGGCCTTGGCTCAGACTTACACAGTCAGAGTTACTGCTTCAGACTAAAATTGTTTGAGTCGTGGGTGGCATGTTAGCGCAGTCTCTATAAGTAGACTGTCTTTTGTCTCCAACTGGGCCCAATCTTAATTGTTAAGCATTTTTAATCTATACTGCGGGCCCCAAAAGTGCTTCTCTTTGTTATGCCACATTAGAGCCATGATTCCTGGCTTTGCGTGCTGTGTTTTATTGGCTGCTTTAGATCAGAGGCCACTCAGCATATGTTCACTGTGATTTGTTATTCTTTAATGACAGCCATAGTTTAAATCCTACTGTGAGCTCTGTGGACCAGAACAAAGTGAGAGACAAAGATGCAGAGAGCTACAGAGAGTTTATGGAGAGGGAACAGGGTTGATGAGGGGGCTGAGGTCTCATCCTCTGGGTGCGTTTTGTTTAATTAATCAACACGAACCAATTTACCACCGTAAATGGTTTGTATACATGACCACACACAGGCAAACTGGGAATGATGCCTTTAATACAGTAAATGGCGGAAGGCCTGCTGTCATGAGACGGTGTTTGACAACATATGAAGACAATATGAAAGTATTGACCTTAGAAGTTATTATATGCACCATACAAAGATATTGTTAGAAGATGACATTCAAACTACTGTTTTATTTGACAATATTTTAGTACTTCGATTGTTAAGAAGAGACTATTGGTGCCACCAAAAAAGTCTGTTGACATTAACTATAATAATGATTTCAAGAGGTAATTTAATGTTTACAAAACCACATTTTTAAAAATGAAAACCTGACATATGACACACAAAAAATACCAGGGAATTCCTTTCAAGCATTTTAAGGTTGCTAGCATTAGCTAATTAGCTATAAACAAAAGGTGAGCTACGGCTAAGGTTGATGGGAATGTCATAGATCAAAGTACAATTAGCGGTACAAGAGGACAAGTCAAAACCTTATTATACCTTATATGCTTATTTCGCAAGTAGAAAACTCAGAAGATCACCAAAATTATTACAATTCATCCTTTAGGGAATATGATTTCAAATCAGCTTGTATTCTATGCAGTGGCTTAAATACGTAATATTAAGTTCTTTTTTTAAATTTATATAGCACTTTATATAACACTTTTAAAAGCAAACCAAAGTCTGTCACAAAGACAGACATGTGTACAGATACAAGCAAAAAGACAAATGAGCAAAACAGATGTTACAGAAATAAAGCAAGATAAAAATTGAAACACAATTAAAAATCCTCATTGCTACTGAAATGCTCACGGAAAAATCCAAAATCTATGAATAAGCAAATATTTGTTTAATTGACAAGGTTAACTGCTGGAAACAAACGAACTGGAGGATTTGAGGATTTCTACTTAATGGTGGAGATGGTTAGTTCAGATTCAAACAAACCAAAGTCACACAATAACAGAAAGAAACTAACTGATGGAGGCAACATTAGAACAACAGGCAACTCCCGTCTCTGGCTCTGAGAGGTAAAATTAATGTTTTTGTCAGATGAGTCTGGTGGCTTTGAACAGAACAAAATAGATCTTATTCTTTAGCAAAAATGTCTATCTCTGTATCCTTATATATTTCCTTATAATAACAATATGAGCCCAATATGAGTGGCACTTTTAGTGGATCCACTTTAACTGTGCACCTGTTTCGCAGCACTTTTGCTCAATACTGGACTAATTAAAAAAAATTGTTGTTTGCTCTCAACTTCCTATTGTTTAAGTGTAACAACTCACTGGCCGACACTAGAAGACTGTCTGTAAAGTGCAGTTAAGTCCATGAGCCTTCAGTAGACTTTCTCCGGATAGATAAGAGTTTAAAAGAGAAAATACCGCCATGAACATAACTTTCAAACTTTGCATTTAAGGATGAAGTTCCCAGTTATTGCTCTTCTTGTTCGTAGGCATACTGCCATGCCTCTTTACATTTTGAAATGCCTGATTTCACACTGCGCTGTCCTCTTTACGCCCCTTAAAGATGTGCGGGACTGTATCTAATCTGAGTGTGTGGGAGGTCACAGCACCGATGTTCAGAGACGAGGGAACTTGTATGTCTTAATATATATTTTTGCGTCATTCCTCAGAGAGCCACTGGGGGAGACTTTGGAGATGAGGGCAGATGAGTTAGTGTTTGCTTTGAAGCTACAAAAAAAGAGGAGGAGGAGGAGGAGCTAGGGAACGGGGAAAAGACAGGAAGAAGAAGAGGACATTAGAAGATAAAAGGAATCGAACTGATGAGAAGGAGATAGGAGAAAAGTTGAAGCGAGGAGAAGGAGAAGAGGCCCTGACGAGAGTGAGGATGAACCCTGCATGAACACAGTTTGAGGCCTGAAGCGCTGATCGCCAATCTGAAACACCCGCTCTCTCCCTCCCTCACTGTTTAACTGGAACTAATAACTTAAGATAAAGGCTTTTAGTGAGGGGCTACTTTCATTTTTAATGTGGTGGAACAGGAAGGCGGAGGGACCCTTTCAAAGTACGAGCACAGAAGCACTTTGAATGACCCTCGCTTGTCATAAATATTGTTTCCAACACAAACATAAAGTTAGTTCATATTCAGTGCTAATTCTAGCTCATTTCTAAAACAGAAACACATCTGTACATACAGCATATTTCCCTTTAGTTGCAACAGTCATGAGAGGTACTGTATCTCTGTTGCATAATTAAGGTTAACATATTCCAAAACATCCTCACAGCGCATCACATGTTTTTTGGCTGGCTAAAACCTTGAGGACACAGTAATCCTGTATGGACGTGGTTTCATAGTCAGACCAAAATCGGTGCTGAGATCCAGCTCCTGCCCTGGAACACTTCCGATTCGCAGCCCGCGGAGCAGCGTGGTGAGAAAGACAAACATCTCCAAGCGTGCGACTCCATCACCGAGACAGCGTCTCTTCCCCATGCCAAAGATGAGAACCTTCTCTGTCAGATCCTTGTTGAGGAGTCCTGATGAACCTAGGAAGCGTCCGGGGCGAAATGTGTCCGCATCGCCCCAAAGATCACTGGGACAGAGAGAAGAACATGAAGATCGATCAATCAGTTAAATAAAAGACACTGTTACCAACTTTAGCACGTCGTAATGTGTTGATGATTGCTTTTGGATACTCACGCATCATGATTGACTTGATACTGGTTAATGAAGACACATGTATCTTTGGGAATGAAGTATCCATTCAGGGTGATGTTTCTGGTGGTACTGAAGGAGAGACAACCAGAGTAAAGTACACACAACTGCAAGCATGATTGTACTGCAATCAAATCAACTGTCTTACCAGTGAGGAATGGTAAAAGGGACATATGAAGCGTGACGAAAAACTTCATATATGAATGCTTCTGTGAAAGGCATCTTCGGCTTATCTGAAAACCTCGGATGTCTGGCTGTGCCAATGTGTTCGTCTACAAAAAGAAAAAAACCAGCACCAAACCACATTAGAGATTTATGGAAAACTGGGTAAGCTTTTTTACAATTTAAAGTTTTATGCCCCTGAGACTGTGTTAGAGAACGTGGCCCAAGAGAGATATGTCCTTTGAACACCACCATTTTCCAAACAAAAGGTTCATTAAGGTGCAGTTTGTAAAGTTGTTGACCAGGATGCAAATAACTGTCAAAACTGGAGCTTCATGTTTCATAATAGCTGATATCTTTTTTAAAACTATGAGGACCTGTGTCCCGACTACCTACAAGAACAAACACTGATATATTTCCAGATTTGTTGAGTCTAGGATCATGGGGTTACAGTCCTTTGAGGAAGTACTAACAGCTACAGAGTTGGGCGCTAGGTGTGACACATCGAGAAGACACCATTCTTAAATGACAATGGAGGCTGCTGCTTTTCCCAATTGAAAAGACGGTTAATTGAAGTTGGGGTCTGACATCAAATCGCTCAGCTATATAGAAAGTTCCTGATATAAGTCATTACAATTCTAGACCTCAAAAGTTCATTGTCTGTAAATTTGAGCTGCACTTGAGTTCAGTCAGAATGAAGAGAATCTTTTTATTTCCCTATTATATAATTAGCTAAAAGTTAGGTTGATAAAAGAATGTATAAGCATGATCCCTGAGACTACATCTTATTAAATACGCGGTCTGCAGCCTGACCTGTATCCATTTGGGGGTATGTAACATCAAGAAGCCTGAGAATCACTGGGGTTAAAATAGCTGAGGTCTATTGTATCTTTGAAGTTTGTAACATTGCACAAACAAGTATTTACGCCGACATGAACAATGTTCATCTTTCAAATCAATTAAAAATGTTGCTCTCACTAATTCATTCATAAGGTTTCCAGCAAAGTGGCGATCCCACTGTAAACAGTGGAATGAAAGCTTGATTTAAAATTAATTGAGGTGATAAGTAAGTGAAGAATGTCAAACTTTGTGCCTTGCGTGTTGCGGCCTTTGTGTCTGTCTGGAACAACCCTCCAACCTTTCTTTCTTTCTTTCTTTCTTTCTTTCTTTCTCTGGCTGTGCCTCCCTCTCTCGTTCTGTTTCATCCTGTCTCCTCTTAGTGTCTCCCCCCCTCTCTCTCACTCTCTCTCTCTCTCTCTCTTTCTCTCTCTGTGTGAAAATGCAACGTGCCTCAGAACAGACAGCACCAGTTCTGTCAACCCACAAAAGTAGTTCTGGCGTCAGCAAATTGGACTGATCTTTTGTGAGTTCCTCTGGTGGCTGTCGGATTCTGTCTGTCCGGGAAGGGCACTCGGGTTGGCCTTTGTTGAGCTTCCATTATGTTGATTCTGCCTGAAATTTGTATACTTTTTTTTAATACTATATAACAGACATCACATATGCCAGGCTATTCCTGTGCTGATGATACATTTCTTAAAAAGATGTCATTTTTTTTACCTATTTGTGTCCTTAAAGATGTCTTTTTGGATTGAATATTTTACATATTTCAACAGATAAGAGCCCGATTTGGCACTGATCTCAGCATCTTTTTCATTTCTTAAATATTAAGAACTACTGTATGTAACACCTTCTTCTCTAAAATTAAACCACCAGCCACAATCTTTGCTCATCAGTGATGCGTTAATCATTAATGAGCCACCTTCTATTTCTGGATATGAGAATGCGTCACTGGGTATTGGACTAGCCTTCGCTATTTAGCATAGCATAAATTCTTTTTTTTAGATAAGATGCTGTAATGATCTGTAAGAAGTACAGTGGCTCCATTTCTAGAAAAGATTTGTTGTAAAGACGGAGTACAAAAAAAAAGGCACATCACACCAATATGGACAGCAGAGTCACATTTGAAGTGCCCCCTCTAGTCAAAAATCTGTTTTTCTTCTTGTTTGTACAGTGTGATGTTCGAGCTTCACTGTACAGAATGATGTATGTGCGGAGTTTGACACTTGAAGGATGTTTTCACATTCATCTGCTGAAAGTGAAGTTTCTTGAAAATCTGAAATCAGATTTGTGACAATCAAAAATATCTAGAATTCCAATCCTCGGTCATAGTTTGCCAACTTATACAAGTGTGGAATGTAAAATTTAAGCCACCAGTGACATAACACTGAAAATGGACTTATACAGTGAGTAGGAGACATCTTATGTCCAGCAGGAAAGCTTTAGAAATGAACAAGAGTTGCATTATTCATAGATTATTTGAGTTTTTAATGAGGTAGAAGGAGTAGCAGCCTTTTTGAGGATTTAATGTGGAATTTTTTTGCAGAAAAAAACACAATGGACTCACATTATTATTGCACTCAGACTATATTTGTCTTAATACACGTCATAAGACCGTACCTATCTCCTGATGGATTCTGTCCTGGATGTCAGGAAACTTGATCAGGTACAACAGGCTCCACTGTAAACCAGCGATGATGGTGTCAAATCCTTTAGAAAATCACAAAAGAGAGTAACCATCTTCATCCACAATTATTTATCATTAATGATAATATAGGTTGAATCCGCAGCGTGTCTAACCTGCTCCAAAGATGTCGATGACACTGTGAATGACCTGAGAGTTGGAGAGCATAGACATATCCTTATTTTCTTCTCTGTCCTCACAAAGTGCAATCAGAGCGTCTGTAATGTCCCGGATACAGTTCTGCAATCACACAAACACACAAGATATTTAACATTGTTTGTCTCGCTTAAATCATTGTCGTTATCATCACTGAAACATCTAGCTATCTTTATCAACTGTAGGTTGATCAACGGCAATGCAGACTAGAAGAGAAATAGAGCTTTGACGTTTTAAAAGCGATAATTATGGAAGAGACAGTAATCAGTTATGGTACGACGCGTGTCTTCCAGTGGGATGCTAATTCCTAATTAGAGTGCGTGCGTGCGAACATTTTAGCCACTCTGCACAAGAACAAAGGCCCCTCCCAGGGAACTTGTTTGTTATTTCTTTGGCTACAGTTACTGTCACAACTACTACTGCATGAGTGCAATGTCAGATTAAATAGTGGATGGCAAATTAGTGGGACAGATCGAAAGAAAACAACACTTACAGACGCGCCATCCACCACATTAGGTGGTCCTGGAAATATTTGTATTTTGTGGTCACTGTAATAGATTGGAGGGCAGGGGTTAAAGTCTGAGACCTTCCCTCAGACAAAACTGGGATGCCTATGGGATCATGATTATGTTGTTTCATCCCATAGACATTAAATAATTAAGATAATATAGCCTGCTGTTTTACATAACTGCACACAACCACAAATTCATAAAAAAAAGTGGGGAAAAAGAGTGAAATTCACAACAATTGCTGTAATCTATAATAATAACAGAATTGCACACATGTAGGTTGTTGTATGTGTCAAAACTCCTTTTGATATCCAATGTTATAATTTCACTTCCATTCACTGAGTGTCCCTGGGGAGGTCCGGGCGAGATAAAGTTAGTTAGTTAGTCATTATGATATCATTATAACATTTAACAAATCATTGTGGAGAATTGGTCATTGTCAGCATGTGACACCGGGTTCAGCTTTCTTTGAAATTTTAATTTTGCATTGCATGTCCCTTCAAAACTCTTAAATTGTCAATTATTATTCTACGTCTAACATGCAGTTAGCTGCATAGCTCATCTGGTAGAGCTGGCCCCCCATGTACCAAGACTGATGCCGTGTCCCAGGGTTCAAATCCAACCAATCCCCTCTCTCTCTACCCCCCTTTCCTGTCACTCTTCAGCTGTCACTATCAGTTAAAGGCAATAAAAGCCACCAAATAAAGACTCAACTAGCAAAACTTTAAATACTGTCACATGTCTGTGTGTAATTCTGCACTGAAACAAAACCTTCCTTACCTTATCAAAGGTTTTGATGTGTTCCTCGATGCTCTGCTCCATGAATCCGTTCATCCTGCGAATGTGCTGGACCATCTTCCTCAGAGATGGACTTGGAATGTAGCGAAACACGGGGAAAAAATCAGCTAGGTTCCCCGCTGCAAAGATCCTCAGGACCTCGTTGTTGATGTGAACAATAGTGAGGAACTCCTTGTCGTTGTAGTCGTACCTTTTCCCAAAGCAGAGGGCACAGACAACGTTTGCCACTGAGGTCACCAGGGGCTTCACTGGATCTATACCGGCCATTTCTCCTTCAGCAGCAGCCTGTTCCCGAATCACCTGCACCATCTCTGCTGCCTCAGCACAGACCTGCTCCTCCAGCAGGCAGGTGGCACCGGACCCTCTGGGCTCAGCCTGGGAGAAAGACCTGAGGGCATTCTTACACAGCTTCTTATGGAGCATCCAGGCCGGTCCATACTTCTCACTGAAGGTCATACTGGTCCCGTTGGCTACGGCAGAGAAGGTGAACAGGTCAGGTCGGCCGGCAAAAGCTTCTCCCTGCCGAACCAGCGCCTGTCTGATGGTGTTGTATCCACTCAGGACCACGACAGTCAAAGAGCCCAAACGCATCTAGACCAAAAGAATTAACAAATGATTGAATGAATACATGAATACTTAATCCTCCATCCTAAAAACAACACATTTTGCTGTAATACCTGGAAAACATCGCCGTACTGGAGCCTCAAACGGGTGAGAGAAAGATGAATCTGGTCCCCCATCTGGAGCAGATTGCCAACAAGGGGCCACGGTGTGGGACCAGGAGGAGGAGGATATCTTGTGTGATCCAGCTGGGAGTAGTGGTGGTGACTCTTTCGGCCCCTGAGGGCCATCAGGAGGAGGGTGAGAAGACACAGAGCAACAGTGACACTAGACACAGAGGCACAAGGGTTCTCCTTGATGGGCAGAGTCGCAAATGTCAGTCTCATCTTGGCAGATAAGCTGCAACTACTGAGAGAGACAGAGAGAGAGAGACTGTTAAAAGACAAATTGTCTCTAATTAAGGAGAAATTGTTAAGATCCTAAAAGAAATAAAGAAACAAAGCCAAGAAACATTTCTGATAGAAAACTCACCCCTGCAGTATCCACTGTAACTTTGGTGTGTAAAAGTAGCGACCCAGACAACAGAGACCAGAGCAGAGACCAAAATACTCAGGCAGGCAGACGTTTGTGGTCTGGTCCTCACGAACAGTCCGGGACATCCCTTTCAGCAGCAGCCGGGCCCCCTGCAGAGGGAGCTGCTGCCCGCTCACAATAGAGAGGCGCACATGGCGAGAAACTTGGCTCAGGGTGAAGGACGAGTTCGGCCCAGCCAGCCAGTGACCACATTGGCCCATTTGACTGCAGACCGGAACCATTCACAACGTGGGCTCCTCCTCTCTGGTTCCCTCTGTCCATCACAAGGATGTTAGTTGCAGTGCGTTGGTTTAAATAATATTTTTAAAGGATTATATGTAATTAAATGTGTTTTCAAAACTAACAAAACAACATTTAAATATCTGAATTCGAATTCACGACTTTTACTTGTACATAATAAAACAATGTGATATTAGTACTTTAACTTCTTCCACCACTTGTTCACAGACCCCAGTAGTTTTATGAACAATGTCATGCCTGTGACGGATCACAAAGGGGCGCTGTCCGTCTGCTTACATTGACTTCATGTCCCCCACAGTTTGGACTGAGGTCATGCTTTGCTGCTGGTTTCTCACTCAAATCGTCATACACAACACAGGAAGTGTGGACACAATAACAGGAACACCTCTATATTAAAATCCAATACAACCAGGGGCGGATCTAAAGACATATTCATGGGGTGGCCAGAAGGTGGCAGGGAGACTTTAAGAGAAAGAAATAGATGCTGATTTAATCCCAAAAAATCACTCAATCAATATTTACTTGGAAACGCCCCCGAATGAAGATATTCAAATGTACATTAGTAAAGTAATATATAAATATATAAATACATTGTTTTCTTTCCAAATATTCAGACATTTTTCCAAATAATAGTCTAAAATGTGACCATAACAGATTATTAAATTCATTTACTTTTTTTTATTATTTTTTTTTTTTTTTACAGAATTATTGTGTTAAATTTGACAACATTTGACACAAAACTGGGGTAGCTTTTTTTAGGGGTGGTAGGTGCCACCTAGATCCACCCCTGAATACAACCTCATATATTGGTTTCCAAAGGATTTGCAAGGCCATTTGCAAAGCATTGCAAGGCCACACTGTTCATGCAGCTGAGTATTTGAAACATTTCAACAACTGTTTTCTAAGGTTTAGGTTTAGGTGCAAAAAACATCTTGGTTGGCAAAAGTGTTGAAATACTCTATAAAATATCTGGAGGCGGACTATCCAAATTAAGTAGTTATGTGTGTTAGTTCATAAAAAATACTTGCTGGTAATAGTTGGCTCAGAAATCAGAAGCAGAGTAGCGCGGGTCTTTGCAGAGCGCTGGTGGGGGGAAAAAAATCCAGTGTTACACAGGGGAGTGTACCTAGACTCGCAGGTGGCGGTACTCAATAAGAAGCATGGGTACTCATGGATGAAAATCAGAAGTACAAAAAATCTGTACTTTCCATTTCAGGCACTGGTTTTATAGCCAGTAAAATCTCTCCAGTAAAGCTTGCTAACATTAAAGTAATGCCGTCTCTTGAGACAGAGCATGCATTGTTTGTCCACGAAAGATGACTATAGGGTTAGATGTGAAATAAACCTGCTGTTACCACCAACCTGAACCACCTCCAGGAGATTCCTTTAGACAGGAGACGTCCCACAGAGGTCGCATATACACTGAGTGACTCCCGCCAGAGCAGAATTTAGACAAATCTTTGATATAGAGCGACGTGAAAGTCACATAAAAACTGTTCACACTGAGGCCAAAGTGGCCAAAATCAGAATAGGAAAAGATCAGATTCAGTGTGATTTGTTAAAAAACTTTTGCAACTTCTCTCTTCTTCAAGCTCTCTCCTTCCTCTCTCTCCTCATTCTTCTTCCCACCTTTATCTCTCATTTCCCTTCTTGTCCTCCATGCTTATACTACATCCTCCTCCACAGTTCTCTCACTATCTCTCGCTCTCCATCTTTCATCCTCTCCACCGAACCGTCAATTTAGCTCAAGCTCAACTGTGGGACACCCAGTGCTGTCAGGCCAAGCGACAGCTCCTTTGACCCGGTGGACCATGTCCTCTCCAGGCCAAGGCGGTCCGGTCTTGTCATTAGCTCTGGCAGACAGAGCTGAGACACACACTGAGTCTGTGGAGCCAGGCGAAGTGTCTATTGAAGGAGAATGTGTTGCTTTTATTCAAACATTAAAGCAAGACCAGGGTTACAGACCTGACAGCCACACACACAATGCCAAAAAACCTGAAATGAGCTTGTATTTTCTGACAATTATACTGAATGTTTTTGAGGAAAAGTCCTTATTGAGGCACAAAATCGTTAAGATATACATTTATTGGCAAGCAGTGCTCGGATGCATAGTGCTCCATCCACTCACAACATACTGTATAACTCACCCAAACCCACGGCCTTCATAACATAAGCCTCAAGTCAACCGTATGACAAAACAGAGCTCTATACATTAGTATGGGAAGATGGTTTTCCTCTGCAGTTCTGCTGATCTTTCCATTGTTTAACAAGGGTTAATTACAGAGGTTGTGTTGTCCCTGCAGAACAATTCTCAAAAGGATGTGTGCCAGGATCAAAATAGGCGCACCAGACAAAGTTATGTGATCGCATTGTTCCCGGGAGACAGCGAAGCAGCAGGAGGCAGCTTATCAAAGCAAACATCTTCCCAATTATGTTTGCTGCCTCGTAGACGGGCCTATCCCTCTGAATGAGCTGCGTGTGGACACGAAGTGATGCAATGAAGCACATGCAACAAGTGGCCGTAACTTCAAAGACTTAGAGGTTCAAATATCTGGCCTTGCTCAAAGCAGCTTTTTATGCTTCAGCTTACACAGCAAAAACACTGATAAGGTGTTTGGATCAGACTTTGTTATTAGATTATTAGACATTTGTTATCTATTTAAGGGGGAAAGCAATTTAAAAAAGAAGATAAATATGAATTCACATAACTTAAGAAGAGTCTAATTTAATTTGACAGGCTCTTGCAATACAATGTGATTTGACAACCACTCATATCTTACCGTGCAGACAGGAGCTCCTGAGCATCTGATCACAATTTCCCTTTTATTTCTGCTTTATTTTATCCAATCACTGAATGAATGAGAGATGGGTAGGGGGTTAGGAAGATAAGGATGGCTCCAAGACTGCATTATCTAATTTATGCACCTGTTCTTAGATTTAGATTTTGTATATATGCATTCATCTTATTCTTACTTTTTATTTATTATTGCTTGTGTTTGATACTGTCCCATTCTAAAATACAATGCTTTTATTTCATCTATCTATAAATGTAAATTAAGATATTTTGAAAATGAACACTGACACAATTATATACTCTGTATAACTTTCTGTGGCTCAATAAAAAAAGATTTGAAGCAATGAAGAGTTTCAAACACTTATACATGCAGAGTATGTGTCCTGTAGATACAAATAAGGTAATACATTTTTAGTACGAAAAGGTCAGATATTGTGGTAAAAGCAAAGGCCTGTGTATGCCAGATTTTTAATCCTGCAAAAAAAGAAGAAAAATATATATAACATGGGAAAAACTTTCTTATTTATCAAAAGTAAGGGCGCTAAAAAAGTTAAATTCCTGTCTCCTGACTGTTTATGAAACATGAAATGTACAGAAAAGATCAATAAATAAGAACCTATAACATTACAGATACCTACCATTCACTGTAACTCAGAGGAACTGAGCTGCGCGCGCCCCAGCCTCGCGGGGCACGTGGGGTAAACTGGGATTGGTTCCGTCTGAACGGTGATTAGCGCGTGCAGCGGGACCCTCAGAGGACCGAGGACTCCCGGTGCGGCGGTACCCTGATGCTTGAGTGCGGCAGGTATATATAAAGCTGCTCGGCGGGTCTCCGGTCCACTGACGGTGAGAGAAAGGCGGACAGACAACTGCAACATGCCCGTGACCGGAATCCACCAGACCGGAGGAAACTCACCGGCTCCGTCTGCAGGTTGGTAACTTTTTAAAGACTGCGAGCTTCAGTTTACACCCTGAATCTGTCAGACATTACCAAACATTATGTTTCATTTTGGAGCTTAATGTGGAAGAAGGATATTACACACCTTTAAATTCAGGTTATACACTTTATGTTTGACTGAACCCTTAAATCATCATATGTCTCTGTTCCATATTAATGTCATTTAAAGAGATTTATATTCTTTTAATTGGCAGTTTTTCATGTTTTTACACTGTTTTTCTTACTTTTTCCTCATGTTTAAATTTTAATTTTAATTATTCTAAGCACTTTTGCAGGTGTGTGTAAAATTAGCTTTCTTTAAAATTTCCAAATCCTATTTATTTTTAGTGAATCCCATTATTTTGAAACATTTTTTGTATTTGTACTTCATTCTGGAGGGAAAACTGATTTACTATTTAGCTTTAGGGCAACATATATCCCATAATTCAGTCATTGTAACATCCATTCTGCTGCAAAAGCCAATTATTTACTGAAAGCACCACAGCAAGAATATTAAGCTCAAAGCTAAATATTTGGCATTGCTGTGGCTCAGGTTGAGTGGATCATCTAAGAATCTGAGAGTTGTTGGTTCCATTTACCATTTATTTTGAAGGGACCAGATTACAGAAAACACTTACATTAGTCCACACTGTTAATATAGTGTTAGTGCTACCTAGTTGTCTGTTCCACTTACATGGCTCTGCACGCATGGTGGAATATTCTTAATCATCTCTTTTTTATATCAGACAACTCTTTAAACTGTTTCTTATCATTTACAATCAAAGCTTAGAGTTATTACGACACCTCTGGTAGTGTTGTTGCCCCGGGCCTGCATCCTGCTGTTCTCCGATCTTCTCTGTCCAAATGAGGTCAGGCTAGTCCACAACTCAGAGCCAGCCCGACTTTATGGTGCCAGTCGTAACCCTTGACCCCGCTGGTGTTACCCTGCCGACAGTGCCAGTACCTCATTTGGTGCAGTTTCTCTCCAGCCGGTTGGGATGGCAACTTATTCACAGGGTTATGGTGAAACATGAAAGGAGCTATTCTCACTCAGCGATCCAGACGTTAACTTTCACATCAAGTGTTCACACATGCACTACAGTGTTGAGTGAACACACACGCATGCACAGGGAAAACAAGCTCAAGTGGCGGAGTTGGGCAGTAGCAAAGTACAAACACTTTGTTACTGTACTTAAGTAGTTTTTTCAGGTATCTGTACATTACTTGGTGGCTTCATTTTTACACAAATATCTGCACTTTCTGCTCCTTACATTTTCAAAACAGGCCTTTGAGATGAATTATTGATTATTATTTGTATTTTTTGCATCATTGCAACACTTTCTAACATCAAGACCGGTGCATTTCACGCATGACAGATGTAATGTGATGAAAACTAATATGAAACAGACAAGAGAGGACAATGTGACCGTATTTGAAGTTTAAAGCTTTGCACAGAAACAGTCGGTAGAAATGTGCTTTAGAGAAACCTTTTATACAAACATTTCAGAGCCTGTACTTTTTCAGTACTTCTACTTTTACCATAGTCTTTTTTGTACTTTTGCCATCTCTGTGGATTGGACATCCATTTTCCATTTGTATTTTTCAGAGGGAAAGCATGTCAACATGAACTCCCAGTCCGACAGCGGCCACCAGCAGCAGCCTGGCAACGGGTGCAACCACCAGGGTCCAAACCAGAACCATCAACCACAGCCTGCAGACGGACCTGAGACGCAGGCCCTGCCTACACCAATCCCAGACCCCCACATCCAGTACACGAAGGTAAGCTGCACCCGGCAGTCGAGACACAAAGCAGACGGGACTGAACCAAACAACTGAGCTCCAGATCAGATTTTTTTGTTCCTAGAGGGCAGTTTATCTCCTAAGAAAAAGGTTTGCAAAATTCCACATAATTTACTCAGACACTCAGGATTAAGAGATTTTATTTGAATATATAAATCAGCAACTTTTTGCATATATTGGTGTGGTTCTGTTCCACTACACAGTGATCTTTATAAGAGTTTTACATCAGAAAATCAAGTATTATAAGTCTTACTATTCTAAATTTGAAAGAATTGTGGTTTTGATATTTCCTTTTATCCTCACCCTAACATGTATCACTAAACTGTAACTGTGTTGCTTTCTTACCAGGCAGATTGTGAGTTGCATCATCTGGTCTGTATTTCGGTGAATCGACGTTGGTTGGTTAATTGGTTCACTTGGCCTTTAATATGGCATTGTGTACCAATTTAGCAATTGTGGTTTGTGTTAAAAATGAAAATGAAAAACGTGGCGTGTCGGCTTGTAATTAGAGGTGAATGGAGACTTGGTTTTAACAAGATGAAACAAGCAGAACAATATTTACTGGTCATTTATCAGTCAGGGCACGGTTGAAAGTAATTACCTGAAAATACTCTTCAAGCCAGATGCATCTCATAAAAAAACAACACAGCAGGCAAAATGACTCCCACTAAACACAGGTTATTAATTTCATCAGGCTGAGAAGAGCTGATACTGTGCGCCATGTGTTTAGGAAAAAAAAAAGTACTTGAAGAATCTGTTTCTGTGCGTATTGTTCTTTTTTTGATCCTCCTCTGGTATCTCAGTTGTTCATCAATAACGAGTGGCATGAGTCCAGCAGCGGAAGAAAGATTCCTGTGTATAATCCCGCCACAGGGAAGCTGCTGTGTGAAGTGGACGAGGCTGACCCTGTGAGTATATTATACATCAGTGGTTCCCAACCTTTTTCCTTAAGGGACCCCTTTTCTGTCATTGAGTAAACTGACAACCCCTGACTGAGTGACATATTTGATGGTTATTTCATATTACATTCAGTGCATAACAACAACAGTACAGAACAACTGAAAAACTTTGCAATTAACCCAAATAGTGAAGATTATTAAGATTATTTCCTGTAAATATTACATCAGAGATGAGTTTTCTTGATGTTTTTAGGCACATTTTATACAATTCTCTGTCTGTTTTATGTATTTTTTCTATTTTTAACAATTCTTCATACTGACGAAGCTTCTTTTTTGACATATTCAGTGTTTTCTTCTTATTGCTCTTGTACCCTTTGTTTGTTTTAACTGTGATTTTCTAAATGCAGGACGAAGCTGTTTAGCAGAGGGTGAAGGCTGTGTGAATATAGCTTATGTTCAGGTCTTTCACCTTTCCCTTATCCTGTAACAGTTTCATTTATTTCTGTCTTGACTTTGGTGACCGCCTCCTCCACTTGAACCTCCTGTAGGAAGATGTGGACAAGGCAGTGAGGAGTGCCAGAGCCGCCTTCCAGATAGGGTCGCTGTGGCGTTCCATGGACGCCTCAGACCGTGGTCAACTCCTTAACAGACTTGCAGACTTAGTGGAGAGAGACCGGCTACTACTGGCAGTGAGAAACACACACACACACACACACACACACACACACACAATTTTGCTACACA